CTGATCAGTCTTCTCCTTGTTTGAGCTGAAAGTTTAGAGGGATGCATGGGTTGTCGTAGATTTGCAGTTGTCTGATCTTCCATTTCATTATTACTGCTTGCACAGTTCAACTTAGGATGTTTAAAGCTTGGGAAATATTTTTTATCCAAATCTGGCTCTAAAGCCTAAAATCATTTAGCATACCAAATGGTTTACCCTAATTCTATATAACTCTAAATATTTATAATCTTTTATAAGAAACTAAGTTTTTCAGTACTTGCAATCACTCAAAGGTCAGTGTGACTTGTTCTTCAGTTGAAGGTCCATACTCTCAATTAGTTACACACATTTGAGCTCATAGAGCCCAGGTGAAGACTGACTGCTCAAAAGTAATTGCTTCGACTAATTAAGTACTGCTGCTCAAAGAGGCCAGTGCTGTGGATTACGGTTTCAGTTTCCAGGTCAGTAAACCTTGTTTTGTTCTCCCAAATACTATAAAAACAAGGACTGCCACTTTTAAAAAACAATGTGAACACAAACATGCCTAAGTCATTGAGTCCAGTAAGTAAGTAAATATATCAGGAAATCAGATTTTACTATACACTACATCATTTATTCTCTTTGGGACTTCTACATTGAATAATTGGAGAGCCATTAATCATTTTGAAATTGATGCAGTTAGTGAAATAATTTGTAAACTGTGTGGATTCAAGTGTCCAGGAGAAAGATTAACAAAGGAAAATGAATAAGGCATTTGGACAAAGCCCCAAATGTAACAAGGAAAAGACAGATTAATTAAACAAAGCTGGATTAAATGTTCTCTTCAATTTGACTTTTACTCTAATCACATTGTGAAAAGACTCCCCAATGGAGGCGTCTAACACTTTATACCATCCCTCTATTCACATGAGTGCCTATGTTTCCTGTGACTTGGAGTGAGGTGTCTTTCTCACAACAATGAAGCAAAAAACATTTTGTGGCATGTAATGTTTTTAATGGCCTGGTAAGACAAAAGGGAAGAAAAGTTAGTAAAGAAATTACTTTTATTTGCATCACTGTTCAAGTTGTCCGAATTTGCTTTGATAGGGGCCTGTGTCTGTTGGGTTTCACTTCAACTTAAAGTCAAAGCAATGAAGATTACAGATTAATAGGCAAGTATGGGGACAGAAAAATGCTGGGCTAAAACACCAACGTGCTTCCAAAGAAATATGAGTCAGCATACTACCCTGGTGTTAGGTTTTACAGTTTCCTTTGTTAAACAGCTGGGAAAAAAATATTTATCTGGTTGACTACGGATAGCATTTTATGACTAATCTTAGCTAAGACACTTTGCCTGGTTCATTTAGTGATGGCAATTTCGAAGCCCCGTCAACCAACTAAACAAATTAACACAATTTGCCAAAATTCCACACCATGCTCAAAACATTTGAAACAGTTAAGAATCTGCTGGATAGCAATCAGAACTACAATTTAGCGGGAATCGTAATGTCCGCATTATTTCATTGCTGAACATGTTTGTTTCATAATAACAGAATTGATAATGATTGTATGAATACATCATTTAAAAAACTAATATCTGACATGTGAAATTGTAACAGGATAAACAGCTCTTTTGATGCATAACAGCTATGTTACAGTGTGGTCCTGTCAATATGGTTCCGAATTCTAATCCATTCTGGTTTCCAATCTACGTATACATCCATTTGGCTGACGGGTTAGCAGGCACGCCTCTCACTGACAGGTTCTTCTATTTCATATCAGTTTTTGATTTTTGTTTTTCCAATTTATGTTAATTAGGATGCTTTTAGGCCTGTGTGGAGTAACATTTGACTGTACTGCACCTACAGTCAGTGTTGTGCCTGAACGTGTTCATTGAATGAAAGTTCATGAACTCGTTCATATTTTGGGCGAACGTGAACTGAATGTACTGCATTACTGCCTGATGAACGTTATTGTGAACTCGTTCATTCTGGTGTCTGTGAACGGCACGCTCTCTCAGTTCAACTCCGTTCAATAGGTTGCCA